ACCTTGAAGGGCGACCGCCTTCGTCCTGGGGCAGATATTATTACGATCGAGGTGTTTGCATGCTCTGTACGCTCTTATATATCATCTCAATGAAAACCAATAGTTTAACTTTCCACGTTTGTTTCTCATCTGTAGAGAGTGGCATGGAATGGTACAAATAATCATAGGTGTGCCTACGAATTCCAAATTTGCAAACAAACCTAGTTTTTTTGAAGCATGACTTTTGGAACTTACTTATTGATTTGGGATAACCACATTCTTGCACCATCTTCAGGGGGAAGATTTAGCAGCAGATTTGCCATCTGATTCCCTCATGTTTATTTGATTGATACCCAAATGCATATAAAGAATTATACAAACATTTCTGAACCCTCGGATACACTCTAAAATAATTACCAGTCAACATACTATAGATGAAATTCAAATCATAGCGCATTTGCATGAAGTCTCAATAGACAATTTTATCGCTAGCTTTTCTCTTCTTTTCGTTCAACCCATGACAGAATTCAGCTTCATCAGAACCATCTCTGAAAAAGGAAATGAATGCAAGTCATGCATTGACGATGCCGTATCTAAGCACCACGTAATGTCATCCTGATTTCGCACTTCACTGCTCTGTTCAGCTAGAATTAGCTGACGTACCGGCAGTCCTTATGGCCATCGCAGACATAACGGGAAGTGATGCAATTTGAACCATCTGCACAGAAGAACCAAGCCGAAGGACATCTTCTGCCTTTGATTCCGTAGCGAAACCTTGTCTTTAATTTTGAAGTTATGAATCCATAGATCGACAGTCAATAAATGACTTACCGAGAATGCCGATTTGGCTGGCCGTCTACACAAAGTGGAATCCTCGTCAGATTGGTCTGAACAGTCCTTAATTCCATCGCACATAAACCTGTGATCTACGTTATTGAAAACTTGATTTTAGAGCAGGTGTGTAATGCCTTGTATTCAAAGTGATCGTGAAAATCTGTCCTACCTTTTCGGAATGCACATCAATCCGTCTGCACAACGTATTTGATCAAGCGAACGACACATGAAATAGCAATTATTTGCATCAAAAACTCA